CTACAAGAATGCAAACAAAATACACGCAAAACCACTACATGTTTGAGCCCTTGATATGAAACTCAATGACACTTATATTCCGTGTAATAGAGATATACATGCGCTTTGAAACGCCTGTCCACTACTGTATTGAATGTCTGTATATGTGCGACAAAATTCAATCGATTGAATTCTTGAGTACAGAATATTCTGTGCTATTGTTTAATGTAATACTTGTACACTAGGGTTATATTATTACATAATTTATTTGTTTTATTTATTTTATTACAGCACTATTAATATAATTATTATTTAGTAAGGCACAATATTTATAAGTCCATAAAATTATATTCTAATACATAATAAATTTATAACTTATAAGTTATAACATTAAATCATAAAATAAATTTTATCATTGTTATTATTATCATATTATTATATATTAAAACATTTTCTATTACTGTAGAGTAGCTTAGATTTGATAAGTAGACAAATAAGTATTTTTTTAAGTTCATTGAATTATTACACATTTCATATTGTTTCTGTAAAATATAAATAAAAATCTTTTCAAATACTAGTCATTAGCTACAATATGGCAGTAATTAATTTGTGAAAATTTCTTTTAAAATTGGCATTAAGAAATATAAATCTTATAAATCATAAAATAAGATTTCCAGTTAAAATTTAATAAATATTGTGTACTGCATCATAAATATTCTAATATAATATCCAAAGTCCAAATTAGATTAATATATTATATATTTTTTAAAACTTATTTTATTTGTGCCTGTCACAATACAATCACAATATGATCCAATAACTTTGATCAAATTATTAAACAAGTACTCTTACTACTTGCCGCATTTTTACATTGACTCTGATCATGATCTACACCATAGTATCCGACATCATAATAAAGTTTAAGCGCATAATATTGCATAAGACTGAGGGTTAGGTTGGCGGACAGGAGGGCCTGAAATGAACGGTCAGTATTTTTCTCGAGCGTTGATTTGAGATAATTCTTCGCAAATATGGGAACCGTTTCGCAGCTCAAGAGAAGCCATTTGTACGGTTTCTGTGATGTCCGCCACTCATCCCTTCCCATGAAGTCATTGATCGCGTGTTTTATGTCTAAATAGTCTTTATGTAAAGCAAACACCCGGTGCTCGAGATACACAGGCGGAGGCGGCGGTAGTGTAGAGCTGATGGGCATGTCTTCCGACACTTTCCGAGGTTTGGTGTACACTATGCGTAGGAATCGTACGTAATCTCCGGTTCCCCGGTTGACAGACATCCGTTTCGTGTCAATTGATACCACTGTTGTGTAAATTATAGCTAATATTATTCAAATTTCAGGTTATTATTTAAAAACAATACTCACTTGACTTGAGTTTCACATCCAATGACATCGCACTACAAAAGTTTATTTCCGGGTTTTCGGACAACCATTTTGAGGCCTTCCGTAATACAGAGGACTGGGGCTCAAACTGAGGTCTCTTAAACATACCGCCCCCTACCAGACACTGGGGCACAAAGTCAGCCAACCCTACCTCCTCGTCCTGTATCGGCCCTAACGTCCAAAACACTCTCAACACGAATGCAGTCTTTCCCACCGATGGCGTAGCCTGAGTGGACTGAGAGTCTATTTGGTCGTCCAGAGCAACATTACAGGCCACTGTCTGTACGTTCAACACCTTTCCCGTAATCTCTTCGGCATTAATCGCACCGTTAAGTCGCGCCACCACCTCATCGATGCTCTCAAACCTATTACTACTTGAGTCCAGAATCCGGGGCTCAAAGTCCCGGAACTGTATCTGCGGTACAATCGGTCGCACCTTATCATTGAACTCCGGGTTCCTATCCAAAGGTCGTACCCATAGCCTGAACAGTTTTACGTGAAAGACTACCGGCGCTCTCTCGTACAACAGCGCCTGCAGGTTAAGCCCCTCATATTCGGTTATCCCTCGTATGCGGTCGCCGGGGATGTTGTATGTGGTCAGCACCCGCTTGCGCCCAATCAGCCCGCACTCACTCAACTGGATCTCTACGTTCGCACCGACAGTCTCGCAACAGACCACATCCCATACCTTCCTATCCAGTAGCCATTTGTTGGCAAAATCTACCAGCTCACTAATTGTTAGTTATTGTTAGAGAACGTTATTACTGTAATTAAAATTGACTAAATACACTATAGTACTTTTTTATATTAAATGTTTTGTATTGTTTTATTTATTAAATTATCTAATTATCGCTATATCGTAAAATCAAAAAATTTAAATATACCAGCATAAAAATATTCCCAAAAATATTGCATTACAAACTAATTAATAATTAGTAATTATGTTAGCCTAACAAATACATAAAAATTAAAAATATCATTACCCATTGACTAATAACACAAAACTAGTTAATTGTTTAAATAAAATTATGTTAAATTTATTTTAAATTCATTTTTAATGATTAACAATACGTACACCATGGTGATATATACGAGTTTTTCATTGCCATTGTCTAAATCTAATTTAAATATAGGTGCAAAATCAACAAATGTGAGCTTACAATCCGTTTTTGGTGGTAGGTCATCATCAAACGCTATAATACTATCTATTCTTGACACTCTATTCACTAATCTTTGCTGGATACTATTACACATTGAACTAGAAGTCATTGTGCTAGATATAAACTTATGTTTATTTATTACAAATTAAATATTAAGAATATTCTGTAAACAATACGAGAATATCAACAGAATTACTGTTTTATATAACAATAACAGACATGCGCGCTCACTTACTATATATTTTATGCACCAGACATATATTTATTCAATTTTTGTTAACAGAATATTCTGTATTTATTTGATGGAATATATTAATCACATTTTAATTTAAATCAATAAAATTATTTTTATTATCATAATAAATTGTGCAATATTATTATATAAAAATTTGTTAAACAAAATTCTGTATAATGTAAATTTTAAAAAAATAAAATATTTTTATAACTATAAGTTTAAAAAGAGAAAATTAATTGTGTTTGCAGCATTTATAACTTTAAAATGATTCTACTTATATTGGTCTTAATCAATAGTATTGCAGTAATATAATTAGCCTTGCATATACCGAAAATTTGAACAAGGCAATAATAATAGTAGACAGGAAGTAAGATATGTCCATAAATAGTATACTATAAACAAGTATAAAGTATTAAACGAGTAATGTTTAAAAGGTTACAGTATTCAATATAAATTACAATATTATAATATTGTATTGTTGAACTTATTTTATATTATTGAACAATTGTTCTGGTTACTGGTAGTTTTTGAATTTTGACCCTGATTGTTTTCTAACCCAAAGTATCCGACATCATAATAGAGTTTAAGCGCATAATATTCCGTAAGACTGGGGTTTAGGTTGGAGGACAGGAGGGCCTGAAATGAACGGTCAGTATTCTTCTCGAGCGTTGTTTTGAGATAATTCTTCGCAAATATGGGAACCGTTTCGCAGTTCAAGAGAAGCCATTTGTACGGCTCCTGTGCTGTCCGCCACTCATCCTTTCCTATGAAGTCATTGATCGCGTGTTTAACATCCGAGTAGTCCTTATGTAAGACAAACACCCGGTGCTCGAGATATATGGGCGGAGGGGATGGTTGTTCAGAGTTGATCGATACGTCTGCCGACACACCCCGGGGTCTGGTATACGCTATGCGCAGGAATCGCACGTAATTTCCGGTTTCTCGGGTGACAGACATCTGTTTCGTGTCAATCGATACCACTATTGAGTAAATTATGGCTAAAATTAATCAAAATTCAAGATATTATTTAAAACCAATACTTACTTGACTTTAGCTTTACATACACTGTCGTCGCGCCAAAGAAATTAATTTCCGGATTTTCGGACAACCACTTCGAGGCTTTCCGTAATACACAGGACTGGGACTCGAACTGCGGTCTCTTAAACATACCGCCCCCTACCAGACACTGAGGCTCAAAGTCACGCAACCCTACCTCCTCGTCCTGTATCGGCCCTAACGTCCAAAACACTCTCAACACGAATACAGTCTTTCCCACCCATGGCTGATACTGAGTGGACTGGGAGTCTATCTCCCAGTTATGACCGGCACTACAGGCCAGTGTCTGTACGTTCAACACCTTTCCCGTAATCTCTTCGGCATTAATGGCACCGTTAAGTCGTGCCACCACCTCATCGATGCTCTCAAACGTATTATTACTTGAGTCCAGAATCCGGGGCTCAAAGTCGCGAAACTGTATCTGCGGTACAATCGGTCGCACCTTCTCGTCGTACTCGCGTGTATCGAACGGTCGCACCCATAGCCTCAGAAGTTTGACGTGAAAAACTACCGGCGCTCTTGAGTGCACCAGCGCCTCCAGGTTAAACCCCTCCATGTCAGTGTCGCCCATGGCGTATGTGGTCAGCACCCGCTTCCGCTCAATCAGCCCGCCCTCACTCAACTGGATCTCTATGTTCGCACCGATAGTCTCGCAACAGACCACATCCCATACCTCCCTGTCCAGTAGCCATTTGTTGGCACAGTCTACCAGCTCACTAGTTTTTTAAACAGAGTCAATATTATTAGTTATAATTTACTATAATATATATAATAGTGACTGTATGTATATTTATTATATTGACACTATATAGTATAAGACTATGTACTTTACATTTATGATACATATTTATAAAATATTCTGCATTTTATTTTATTTACTAAATTATCTAATTATCGCTATATTGTTAAACCAAAAATTTTAATATACCTAGCATAAAAATATACTCAAAAATACTGTATTACATAATGTTAACTATCCCATAGTAACTCATACTTATTATATTATATTAGCCTAATAAACACAAACAAATTCAAAATAACATTACCTATTAACTAAAAACAAAACTAGTTAAATGTTTGAATAAATTACGTAAAAATGTTATTTCAAATTTCATTTTCAGTGATTAGCGATACGTACCCCATGGTGATATTTACGAGTTTTTCATTGCCATTGTCGAAATCCAATTTAAATATGGGCGCGAAGTCAACAAATGTAAGCCTACAGACCCTTTTAGTTGGTAGGTCATCATCAAACGCTACAATATTATCTATTCGGGATACTTTATCCACTAATCTTTGCTGGTTCCTATTTATCATAAAACTAGAAGTCATTGTGATAAATATAATCTTGTATATTTAATACAAAATAAATATTAAGAATATTCTGTAAACAATACACTAATATAAACAGAATTCACATTTTATATAATAATAACATACATGCGCGCTGAATGCCTGTCCACTTACCATATATTTTATGCGCGAAACAAATGTTTTATAAAATTTTTGTTAACAGACTATTCTTTATTTATTTGATGCAATAATTTAATCTCATGTTAATTTAAATCAACAAATTTATTTTTATTATCATAATAAATTGGGCTAGATTATTATATAAAAAAATTTTAAACAAAATTCTGTATAATGTAAAATAAAAAATAAAATATTTTTATAATTATAAGTTTAACACGGACAAAATTATACTTTGTGTTTGCAGCATTTATAACATTACGATGATTCCCCTTTTATTTGGACAATTTGACAATTTGAACAAGGCAACATTAATAGTAGACAGCAAGTTAGATATGACATTAGGGCCGACACAATACAACTAAATTAATTATTATAAATGATTTTCTATGTAATTAATTGTATAGTATATTATAAACAGGTATATAGTATACAGCGAGTAATGTTTAAAAAGTTACGATATTCAACAAAAATTACAATATTATAATATTATTAAGCTCATATTATTGAACAATTGCTCTGGTTACTGGTAGGTATTGAATTTGGACCCTGATCGTTTTCTAACCCAAAGTATCCGACATCGTAATAGAGTTTAAGCGCATAATATTCCGTAAGATTGGGGTTTAGGTTGGAGGACAGGAGGGCCTGAAATGAACGGTCGGTATTCTTCTCGAGCGTTGATTTGAGATAATTCTTCGCAAATATGGGAACCGTTTCGCAGTTCAAGAGAAGCCAATTGTACTGTTCGTGTGCTGTCCGCCACTCATCCCTTCCCATGAAGTCATTGATCGCGTGTTTAATCTCCGAGTAGTCCTTATGTAAGACAAACACCCGGTGCTCGAGATATATGGGCGGATGCGTTGGTAGTGTAGAGTTAAGCGATATGTTTGCCGACACCTCCCGAGGTTTGGTATACGCTATGCGTAGGAATCGCACGTAATGTCCGGTCCCTCGGGTGACGGACATCTGTTTCGTGTCAATCGATACAACTATTGAGTATATTATGGATAAAATTACTCAAAATTCAAGAAATTATTTACAACCAATACTCACTTGACTTTAGCTTTACATACACTGTCGTCGCGCCAAAGAAATTAATTTCCGGGTTTTCGGACAACCATTTCGAGGCCTTCCGTAATACACAGGACTGGGACTCGAACTGCGGTCTCTTAAACATACCGCCCCCTACCAGACACTGAGGCTCAAAGTCACGCAACCCTACCTCCTCGTCCTGTATCGGCCCTAACATCCAAATCACTCTCAACACGAATACAGTCTTTCCCACCCATGGCTGATACCGAGTGGACTGGGAGTCTATCTCCCAGTTATGACCTGCACTACAGGCTAGTGTTTGGACGTTCAACACCTTTCCCGTAATCTCTTTGGCACTAATGGCACCGTTAAGTCGCGCCACCACCTCATCGATGCTCTCAAACGTATTACTACTTGAGTCCAATATTTTAGGCTCAAAGTCGCGGAACTGTATCTGCGGTACAATCGGCCGCACCTTCTCGTCGCACTCGCGGGTATCAAACGGTCGCACCCATAGCCTCAGAAGCTTGACGTGAAGAACTACCGGCGCTCTTACGCGCACCAGCATCTCCAGGTTATGCCCCTCCATGTCAGTGTCGCCCATGGCGTATGTGGTCAGCACCCGCTTGCGCTCAATCAGCCCGCCCGCACTCAACTGGATCTCTATGTTCGCACCAACAGTCTCGCAATAGACCACATCCCATTCCTCCCTGTCCACTAACCATTTGTTAGCATAGTCTACCAGCTCACTAGTTATTTATGTAGAATGAATATTATTAGTTATGTTATAATTGTGTATATTTATGATATTGATTACATACGACTATGAACATTTATGATACTTAATTATAAAATATTCTGTATTTTTCTATTATATTTACTAAAATATCTAATTTTTGCCATATTGTCAAACCCAAAAATTTAAATATACCAGGTATAAATATATTTTCAAAAATAGTGATAAAAATAGATACATAGAGCTATGTATCCTATAGCAACTCATACGTATTATAATAGCCTAGCAAACAAATACAAATTCAAAATATCATTATCTATTATCTAAAAACACAAAACTAGTTAAATGTTTGAATAAAATAACATAATATTTATTTCATTTTCATTGATTAACGATACGTACACCATGGTGATATTTACGAGTTTTTCATTGCCATTGTCGAAATCCAATTTAAATATGGGCGCGAAGTCCACAAATGTGAGCCTACACTCCCTTTTTGGTGGTAGGTCATCATCAAACGCTATAATATTATCTATTCGGGACACTTTATCCAGTAATCTTTGCTGGATACTATTTATCATAGAACTAGAAGTCATTGTGATAAATATAAACTTGTGTATATATTCAATACAAAATACATATTAAGAATATTCTGTAAACAATACCAGAATATAAACAGAATTCACGTTTTATATAACAATAGCATACATGCGCGCTGAATGCCTGTCCACTTACTATATATTTTATGCGCGAAACACAATTTTTATTACATTTTTGTTATCAGAATATTCTTTATTTATTTGATGCAATAATTTGATCTACTGTTAAGTTGAATTGAGATTTATTTTAATATACTGTATATTTCTTTTATAACAACATAATTAGTATTGTGATAATAAATTTTGTAAGATTATTATTTAGATGCAGTTTGAAAATTTTAAAAATAATTATACAAATTGGCATTTTATAAATCTCATAAGTAATAAAATAAATTAATAGTTATTGATAAAAACGATTTCTTATGTAATGTTATGTAAAGTCTATAATACAGGGTATACAGTATAACGCATTATACAAACAATGTTTGCAAGCTTACGGTATTCAATAAAAATAAAAATATAATATTAAATTCATATTATTAAACAATTGTTCTGGTTACTCGGAGATTTTGAATTTTGATCCTGATCATGATCTACACCATAATATCCGACGTCATAATAAAGTTTAAGTGCATAATATTGCGTAAGACTGAGCGTTAGGTTAGAGGACAGGAGGGCCTGAAATGAGCGGTCAGTATTAGTGTCGAGCGTTGTTTTGAGATAATTCTTCGCAAATATGGGAACCGTTTCGCAGCTCAAGAGAAGCCATTTGTACTGTTCTTGTGATGTCCGCCACTCATCCCTTCCCATGAAGTCATTGATAGCGTGTTTTATGTCTGAATAGTCTTTATGTAAGACAAGCACCCGGTGCTCGAGATACACAGGCGGAGGCGGCGGTAGTGTAGAGCTGATGGGTATGTCTTCCGACACTTCCCGGGATTTGGTATACGCTATGCGTAGGAATCGTACGTAATCTCCGGTTCCCCGGTTGACAGACATCCGTTTCGTGTCAATTGATACCACTATTGTGTAAATTATAGCTAATATTATTCAAATTTCAGGATATTATTTAAAAACAATACTCACTTGACTTGAGTTTCACATCCAATGACATCGCACTACAAAAGTTTATTTCCGGGTTTTCGGACAACCATTTCGAGGCCTTCCGTAATACACAGGACTGGGACTCAAACTGAGGTCTCTTAAACATACCGCCCCCTACCAGACACTGTGGCACAAAGTCAGCCAACCCTACCTCCTCGTCCTGTATCGGCCCTAACGTCCAAAACACTCTCAACACGAATACAGTCTTTCCCACCGATGGCGTAGCCTCAGTGGACTGAGAGTCTATTTGCCAGTCCAGAGTAAGATTACAGGCCACTGTCTGTACGTTCAACACCTTTCCCGTAATCTCTTCGGCATTAATGGTACCGTTAAGTCGCGCCACCACCTCATCGATGCTCTCAAACCTATTACTACTTGAGTCCAGAATCCGGGGCTCAAAGTCGCGGAACTGTATCTGCGGTACAATCGGTCGCACCTTATCGTTGAACTCGCGGGTATCGAAAGGTCGTACCCATAGCCTCAACATCTTGACGTATAAATCTCCCGGTACTTTATGGATAAGTAGGTTTAGTAGTTGAACTCTCTCGTCGTATGTATCTGGTATGGTATATGTGGTCAGTACCCTTTTCCGATCAATCAGCCCGCCCGCACCCAACTGGATCTCTATGTTCGCACCGACAGTCTCGCAACAGACCACATCCCATTCCTCCCTGTCCACTAACCATTTGTTGGCATAGTCTACCAGCTCACTAGTTATTTATGTAGAATGAATATTATTAGTTATGTTATAATTGTGTATATTTATGATATTGATTATATACGACTATGAACATTTATGATATATAATTATAAAATATTCTGTATTTTTCTATCATATTTACTAAAATATCTAATTATTGCCATATTGTCAAACCCAAAAATTTAAATATACCAGGTATAAATATATTTTCAAAAATAGTGAATTACATAGAGCTATGTATCCTATAGCAATTCATACGTATTATAATAGCCTAGCAAACATATACAAATTCAAAATATCATTATCTATTATCTAAAAACACAAAACTAGTTAAATGTTTGAATAAAATAACATAATATTTATTTCATTTTCATTGATTAACGATACGTACACCATGGTGATTTTTACGAGTTTTTCATTGCCATTGTCTAAATCCAATTTAAATATGGGCGCGAAGTCAACAAATGTGAGCCTACACACCCTTTTAGGTGGTAGGTCATCATCAAACGCTACAATATTATCTACTCGGGACACTTTATCCACTAATTTTTCCTTGTTCCTATTTTTCATAGACGTCAAACTAGACGTCATTGTGATAAATATAAACTTGTGTATATATTCAATACAAAATAAATATTAAGAATATTCTGTAAACAATACCAGAATATAAACAGAATTCACGTTTTATATAACAATAGCATACATGCGCGCTGAATGCCTGTCCACTTACTATATATTTTATGCGCCAAATATAAGTTTTATACTGTAGTAACTACAGTATAACTATAACTGCTAAATATAAATTATTTTATAGTAATAACAATTATTTTACAGGTGCTTATTATTTAACATTATATATTTTGGACAAATAAATATATTATTAATAACACGTTTATATATAATGTTTCTTATAATTTATACAATTTAATTTAAGTTAATGTAAATAATGTACCAGCACATTATGAAATAATGTCATAATTATTGTTTTAATAAGGCTAATTTGTTTTCTAGCAATAAATTACTGTATTACATAAAACATAAAAATCATTTATGTCTAGTACAGTACCTGTACAGTCATATGTTTGACATTGAAATTTGAATTTCTTATGATGTGTATAATTTTATACAATGTTTTATATTGTACTTGCTTACATACAGTAGTAATTAAGTCTCACACAAACGTTATGTTAGAATTATTTTACTTTTGAAAATAAAATGCTTAAATAAATTGTTTAACGTGATAACCTTATAAAAAATAACAGTATAAACGCTATAATCTGTAAATAAAATATAGACTAGTTTATTTTAAATGTTTATAATATAATTTTTATGTAATATATTTATATGCATACCTCATATCCACGAAATCTGTTTATAATAAACAGTTTATAGCAATAAAAGCCAATATTTTTAACAGCAATTCTTTCCATTATATTTAATATCTAAAAGTTATAATTAATAAATAAATTAATTGATAGATATATATACTGTATATACTAAAAATACCTTGAGCCTCATCATGATTGATATTTGTTTTGTATGAGAAACGTATGAATTAAATAAAATATACGAATATTTAGCCTGGTTATATAATTGCGATGATATGTGTATTATAAATAGTAATTGACTTAAAAATATAACTAACATTAAAAAAGTTATTAATTTATTTAAGTAATAAGAATTAGAAATGAATATTAAGTGCATTGTATAGCAATTAAAAAATGATATAGTCGTCCAAACAGCCAGCAAATATTTGGACCAATAATTACGATTATATTCATTGATTTCTATATAAATAGCATTTAATTCGTGTATAGTTTTCGTAATAAATCCGTAGTTTTGATAATAATTAAACTTTTCAATATGCGATAAACGATTCTTGATCAAAATATTAATAGCCCTTATTTTAGATTTTAGATAATAGGTGATTATATAATAATAGGCACCTTGGTAAATGTGCATGTTTATCATCCACTTTGCCCAGTATGCGCTCATTATCGAGTTAGGTATGCCTAGTAAAATAATGTAGGTCAAATTATTTGTTACCACATATGCATTAGCCATATAAATAAAGGCCATTATTGAAACTAGTTTAATTGTAATATGAGACAACTTTAGCAATGTTTTAGTAATAAAACAAAGCTGGTTAACCAAAGTACGGTCATTGATCTTGATACTTTTGGGCGAAATTAAACCGCATATCATTTGAAATACTCTCAAATCTGTCGGTTTAATACCATTTCTATAATTAGTATAATTTATAATTTGAAGATAAATACAAAATATATTTAATAATGAAGAAATTATGTTTGCTACTTTGCCACCGGGTAAATAATGATCGTAATTACCAAAATATAAATGCCATATTAAGGGTACCTTTATATTATAACTAGCCAGGTAGACATAAATGAGTTGTTTAATAATTGTTAATAATATCACAATGAATACAATGAATGGATGATAAAGTATATGCCGTTTAGTATTGTTTTGCGGTTTAAATAGTGATAAACCAATTGAATACATATGACTGTCGGCACCCCTTACCCGCAATTCCCGGGGTATGGGTTGAGATAAATTATATTTAATTTTCATTATGAATATAATTTATTTTATCAAATTTAAAATTGAATTTTTACAAATTGATTAAATGTAACTTATCTATTCCACATAAGTTAGTTTCCTTTATGCCAGTTTGAATACTAGTCACTACAGTATACCTATAACTGCTAAATATATTTCATAATAATAACCATTATTTTACAAGTGCTTATCATTTAACATTATAAATTTTTGGCAAACAAATAAATTATATAATGTACTATTAATTATACTATTAATTACACGTGTATATAATGTTTCTCATAATTTGTATAATTTAATTAAGTTATTGCAAATATGAGAAACATTATATACACGTGTAATTAATATGCACATATTACTTATATAACACATGGCCTTAAATAATTACTTTTAGTATTATATTTCAAGTTTCACATTCACTTTCTAATTGCTTTTAAAGTCAAGCAATAATAATAATAAATTTTGCTAACATTTTGATTCTTTCAAATTTCAAATAAAGTTAGATTTAAATTTAAATAAGTTTTTTAATTTGTGCTAAATATGAACTTATGTTTATTTACTACAGAATAAATATTGAGAATATTCTGTAAACAATACCAGAATATAAACATAATTCACGATTAATTTAATCTCATGTTTATTTCAAATCAACAGAATAATTTTAATTATTATAATAATAAATTGTGCCAAATTATTACATAACAAATTTGTTAAACAAAATTATGTATAATGTAAAGTTAAAAAAATACAATATTTTTATAATTATACGTTTAAAACGGAGAAAATTATTGGGTATACTTTGTGTTTGCTGCATTTATAACATTAAGATGATTCCCCTTTTATTGGTCATAATCAATAGTATTGCAGTAATATAATCTGCATATAATTTGAACAAGGCAATAATAAACGTAGATAGGAAGTGAGATATGTCCAATTAGATATGACGTTAGGACCGATACAGGACAACTAAATTAATTGTTATATATGATTTTCCATGTAATGTACTGTATAGTATATGAGGTTTAGGGAACCATAGAGGCACTATATATTTTTATTTTTAATTACAAATTTGACTCAATATATTGTATGAATATTGTATGAATAATTGACTTTTGAGTGAAATTTTTAATTAGAAATAAAAATATATAGTGCCTCTATGGTTCCCTAAAACTCATATTATATACAGGTATATACGGTAGTGTTAAGCGAGTAATGTTTAAAAAGTTACCATATTCAACAAAAATTACAATATTAAAATAATATTAAACTCATATTATTAAACAATTGTTCTGGTTACTTGTAGTTTTTGAATTTTGACCCTGATTGTTTTCTAACCCAAAGTATCCGACATCGTAATAGAGTTTAAGCGCATAATATTGTGTAAGACTGAGGTTTAGGTTGGAGGACAGGAGGGCCTGAAATGAACGGTCAGTATTCTTCTCGAGCGTTGTTTTGAGATAATTCTTCGCAAATATGGGAACCGTTTCGCAGTTTAGGAGAAGCCAATTGTACTGCTCGTGTGCTGTCCGCCACTCATCCCTTCCTATGAAGTCGTTGATCGCGTGCTTAATCTCCGAGTAGTCCTTATGTAAGACAAACACCCGGTGCTCGAGATATATGGGCGGAGGCGGCGGTAGTGTAGAGTTAAGCGATATGTTTGCCGACACCTTCCGGGGTTTGGTATACGCTATGCGTAGGAATCGCACGTAATGTCCGGTTCCTCGAGTGACAGACATCTGTTTCGTGTCAATCGATGCAACTATTGAGTAAATTATGGTTAAAATTAATCAAAATTCAAGAAATTTTTGAAACCCAATACTCACTTGACTTTAGCTTTATATACACTGACATCGCGCTAAAGAAGTTAATCTCCGGGTTTTCGGACAACCATTTCGAGGCCTTCCGTAATACACAGGACTGGGACTCGAACTGCGGTCTCTTAAACATACCGCCCCCTACCAGACACTGGGGCACAAAGTCAGTCAACCCTACCTCCTCGTCCTGTATCGGCCCTAACATCCAAATCACTCTCAACACGAATACAGTCTTTCCCGCCCATGGCTGATACCGCGTGGACTGGGAGTCTATCTCCCAGTTATGACCAGCACTACAGGCCAGTGTCTGTACGCTCAACACCTTTCCCGTAATCTCTTCGGCATTAATGGCACCGTTAAGTCGCGCCACCACCTCATCGATGCTCTCAAACCTATTACTACTTGAGTCCACTATTTTAGGCTCAAAGTCGCGGAACTGTATCTGCGGTACAATCGGTCGCACCTTCTCGTCGTACTCGCGGGTATCAAACGGTCGCACCCATAGCCTCAGAAGTTTAACGTGAAAAACTACCGGCGCCCTTAAGTGCACCAGCGCCTCCAGGTTAAGCGCCTCCATGTCAGTGTCGCCCATGGCGTATGTGGTCAGCACCCGCTTGCGCTCAATCAGCCCGCCCACACTCAACTGGATCTCTACGTTCGCACCGATAGTCTCGCAACAGACCACATCCCATACCTCCCTGTCCACCAGCCATTTGTTGGCATAGTCTACCAGCTCACTAGTTATTTATGCAGAGTGAATATTATTAGTTATAATTGACTATGTGTATATTTATGATATTGACTCTATATAATACTATGTACAATTTACATTTATGAAACTTATTCATAAAATATTCTGTAATAATCGCAAAAATTTAAATATACCAGGCATAAAAATATTCTCAAAAATAGTGAATTACATAATGCTATGTATCCCATAGCGACTCATACGTATTATAATAGCCTAACAAACACATACAAATTCAAAATATGATTACCTATTAACTAAAAACACAAAACTAGTGAAATGTTTAATAAAATTATGTAAAATTTATTTCAATTTTATTTTTATTGATTAAGAATACTTACACCATGGTGATATTTACGAGTTTTTCACTGCCATGGTCTAAATCGATTTTAAATATGGGCGCAAAGTCGACAAATGTGAGCCTACAGACACTTTTAGGTGGTAGGTCATCATCAAACGCTACAATATTATCTATTCGGGACACTTTATCCATTAATCTTTGCTGGATACTATTTATCATAAAACTAGAAGTCATTGTGATAAATATAAACTTGTGTATATTCAATACAAAATAAATATTAAGAATATTCTGTAAACAATACCAAAATATAAACAGAATTCACGTTTTATATAACAATAAAGTAATACATGCGCGTTGAATGCCTGTCCACTTACCATATATTTTATGCGCCAAACATATTTTCATTCAATTTTTGTTAACAGAATATTCTTTCATTATTTGATAGAATAATTTAATTTTATTTTAATTTAAATAAGCAGAATTATTTTTATTATCATAATAAATTGTGCAAGATTATTATATAAAAAATTTGTTAAATAAAATTCTGTATAATGTCAAGTTAAAAAAATAAAATATTTTTATAATTACAGGTATAAGTTTAAAACAGAGAATATTATATTTTGTGTTTGTTGCATTTATAACATTATGATGATTCCCCTTATATTGGTCATAATTAATAGTATTTAAGTAATATAATTAGCCTTGCATATAGAGAAAATTTAAACGAGGCACTAATAAATTATTAGTAATAATAGCCAGGAAGTGAAATATGTCCGTTAATTTACACATCATAGTATTAAGCGAGTAATGTTTAAAAGGTTACGGTATTCAACATAAATTACAATATTGTAATATTATTAAACTCATATTACTGAACAATTGTTCTGGTTATTGGGAGTTTTTGCATTTTGACCCTGATCCTGTTCTAACCCAAAGTGTCCGACATCGTAATAGAGTTTAATCGCATAATACTCCGTAAGGCTGGGGTTTAGGTTGGAGGACAGGAGGGCCTGAAATGAACGGTCAGTATTCTTCTCGAGCGTTGTTTTGAGATAATTCTTCGCAAATATGGGAAACGTTTCGCAGTTCAAGAGAAGCCATTTGTACGGTTCTTGTGATGTCCGCCACTCATCCTTTCCTATGAAATCATTGATCGCGTTCTTAATCTCCGAGTAGTCCTTATGTAAGACAAACACCTGGTGCTTGAGATATATAGGCGGAGGGGCTGGTAGTGTAGAGTCAATCAATATGTCTGCCGACATATCCCGCGGTTTTGTATACGCTATGCGTAGGAATCGCACGTAATTTCCCGTTTCTCGGGTGACAGACATCTGTTTTGTGTCAATCGATACCACTATTGAGTAAATTATGGCTAAAATTAATCAAAATTCAAGAAATTTTTGAAACCCAATACTCACTTGACTTTAGCTTTATATACACTGACATCGCGCTAAAGAAATTAATTTCGAGGTTTTCGGACAACCATTTCGAAGCCTTCTGTAATACACAGGACTGGGACTCGAACTGCGGTCTCTTAAACATACCGCCCCCTACCAGACACTGGGGCGCAAAGTCAGCCAACCCTACCTCCTCGTCCTGTATCGGCCCTAACCTCCAAAACACTCTCAACACGAATACAGTCTTTCCCACCCATGGCTGATACCGCGTGGACTGGGAGTCTATCTCCCAGTTATGACCAGCACTACAGGCCAGTGTCTGTACGTTCAATACCTTTCCCGTAATCTCTTCGGCATTAATGGCACCGTTAAGTCGCGCCACCACCTCATCGATGCTCTCAAACGTATTATTACTTGAGTCCAATATTTTAGGCTCAAAGTCGCGGAACTGTATCTGCGGTACAATCGGTCGCACCTTCTCGTCGTACTCGCGTGTATCGAACGGTCGCACCCATAGCCTCAGAAGTTTGACGTGAAAAACTACCGGCGCTCTTGAGTACACCAGCGCCTCCAGGTTAAACCCCTCCATGTCAGTGTCGCCCATGGCGTATGTGGTCAGCACCCGCTTGCGCTCAATCAGCCCGCCCTCACTCAACTGGATCTCTATGTTCGCACCGATAGTTTCGCAACAGACCACATCCCATACCTCCCTGTCCAGTAGCCATTTGTTGGCACAGTCTACCAGCTCACTAGTTATTTATGGAGAGTGAATATCATTAGTTATAATTGACTACTATATTTATATATTTATGATATTGACACTACTGTATATACGACTATGTACAGTTATGATTAGGAATGAAATAAAAATGGATAAAAAGTTGGTTTTTATAACTGGGCTAAGTGTATCCCTATGATTCATAAAAAACACATTCATTAATTTAATCAGTTTTTGATTTTCAAACATATTAATTCTTAAGATAATTTTATATGAATATTCGTTTATATAAACACTCATTTGATAAAATTGTGACTATTTATTACAATTTTCTTTAAATTTGTCGATTACTCAGCAAATTTTATTATTCATAATATATTTTCTCATCGATTAATAAAGGTTTGAGTGTTTTATCAATTGAATACTCGTCTCAAATTATTATAAAGGACTGAAATATTGAAAATCAAAAACTGATTAAAACAGCGAATAAGTTTTGTATTACTCACAGGGATACAAGTGGCCGTCTTTTTGTTACCCACTTTTATTTCCACTTTTCTGGAGATCCTAGTTATGATACTTATTTATAAAATATTTTGTATTTTTTTATTTACTAAAATATCTAATTATCGCTATATTGTCAAATCCAAAAGGATACTGTCATAATAGCATTATGAGTTTCCTAAGTTGGCATTTTTGATTTGTTGATTGGAATTGAAAGCCCATTCAATGCTGAGTCTGAATATGTTATTTATATTGTCCTGTGACCTCGGGTTTGGCCGCAGTGACCACTTTTATCGGGAATATTTTTCATAATAAATAT